AGCAAGGTTAGCGTTCTCTCTTTTCGTACAGTACTTTGTTTCATATTTTTGTGGTTTAAAAAACAAAAAAACATGGTTCAGAATGGATTAACCGTAATTACATTGAACCTTATGGGAAAATTCGGGTCGTGACCAATTTGGGTCGCGACCAGAGTCACAGAACGAATTAAATTCGTGAACCGAGGTACCACTGTAATATTAAAATACTAAGTCTGACAAAATATGTCATATATTTCAGTAACTAGGAAGGAGTGGTAAACATTTCCAACAGTATATCTCATGACATAAACATTCTATTCACACTTCTTTAAATTAAGAGTAGAATACTCCTGCTGTTGTGGCATAAGCATATTCCTTTTGACAGCTTTGAATAAACTGGAAGGTTGGCTGGAGACATTCTTCAAAATAGTAATAATTAAAAAGAAAAATACTATTCTTTTGTGAGTAGCAGGCAGCCAAGGTGGAATTTTACTTGTAAGGATTGCTATCAGGTCTGTAAAGGCATATTTTTGTCTTAGGAATGACATTAACTTAATTTGGATTAGTTGTGATGTCTCTATGGAATTTCCAGTTTCATGCCTTGTGGGCTTCCTGCAATCAGCTCGACATGAGAGACCAAATGTTGGATTTGATGAATGTTGGTCTGATTTACCACAGCTCTCATGTACAGCAGCAGAGAATGCAATCTTCAAGGAGATTTTGCTTGACAATGTCTGCAATGTTTTTTTCTTCCAGTTGTCAATTGAAACGTTTTTCACCATTCTTTAGTTACAATTTCTTATATATATATTATATGTACAATATACACAAACACGTATGCACAAACTTTTAGGGAAAGTCATTCCCTGACTTTTAACCATTTTAAAGGATAAGTGAAAATTTCTAACCTCTTGGTTAATAGTATCATTATGTGTGCGTTAACAGTATTGAAGGTTGCTAAATCATTAATACATTTGGATAATTTTATTTTAACTGGATTTACTGTTTTATTATTTGGTGAGGATATTTTAGTTAAATTTTCCATATCATCAAGCTTCACTTAAAGGATATTTTACCCTTTCTTTTTTGAGCTATTTGAATTATTAATTCATAACCAATTTTGGATAATATCCGTATTACTTTGTGCATACATTTTGGGATCTTAACTGCTATATCAACCACTTAAACTTTCTAAATGTGACTCAGCATATAATAAAATACTTACCCTTAAATATGTATCTACAGTACTGTGCAAAAGTTTTAGGCAGGTGTGAAAAAATGCCGTAAAGTAAGAATGCTTTCAAAAATATATATTGTAATTGTTTATGTTTATCAATGTTTGCGGCTGCATTTCTGCAAATGGAGTTGGAGATCTGGTCAGGATCAATGGTGTCCTCAATGCTGAGAAATACAGGCAGATCCTTATCCATCATGC